GGCGCCCGCCGCGTCGATTGGCCGGGACATGGTCCGTTGCGGTCTGCCGTTGAGCGCCTCGCGACGTCTCCGCTCCGCTCCGCTTCGTGCCCATCTCGCGCCTCGACGTCGTCGACGCTCCTGGACCTCCCCGGACCCACCCCCACCCCCCAGCATTGTCTCATCGTCGTGGCCCTTCGTCTTGTCTCGTCTCGTCTCGTCCCGTCTCGGCCCGGCTCGGCGCATCTCCTTGCGTCGCCCGCTCTCCCTCTCCTTCTGTCTCGGGCTCGTTCATCCTCTCTCTCTCTCTCTCTCTCTCTGTCTCTGCACGTCTCCGTCGCTCGTTGTTCTACCCACCACGGACCATCCCTCGATCCCCCTCCCCCTCCCCCGCCCCAGGGCCGCAGGGAAGCAAGGAAAAAGAAACACCCATCTCCTCACCCTCCCGTCGTCGTGGTCGTGCGTCGTCGTCGTCGCGGTCGTGCGTCGTCGTCGTCGTGGCCGTGGCCGTCGCCGTCGCCGTCGTGGGCTGTGGTCGTGGGTGGCCATAGCCGTCGTGCTCGATTGGTAGTTTCGTAGGTCGGTCGCTCGAGCGATCCGGTCCCCGCCTCGTCTATCGTCGCCTCACTTCGCCTCGCCTCGTCTCGCTTCGCCTCACCCTCTCTCCTCTCCCCCATCTCCTGTACTCTACCCACCCCGTCTCCACGCCGCTGCCGGACAGTGTCCAACCACGCTCTCCTCTCCCCTCTCCGCTCGTGCACGTCGGCGAGATCGGGGCCCGTCGCGGCCTCAAAAGGCCCTCCGGTCCAACCGGCTCTCGACGAACCTGGCAACGACGGGAAGCAGGCTGGCGCCCGAGACGGGCTGCGCCTGCGCCTGCTCCGTCTTCCGGTCGGCCCCGCGCGAAGCGCCGGAGAGCAGCGATGAAGGCATCTTCCTGCCCCCCGTCGCTGCCGCTGATGCCGATGCCGTCGCGCTCGCGGTGGAGGATGCGGCGTTGATGGCCGATTCGGCCGCTCGGATAGCCGCCGTCAGGTCGCGGCTGAGGCCAGCCTCGACCTCCTGCCGCGCCGCGTCCTGCAGCTTGCTCGTCTCCCTCTCGTCCCTGTTTTTCGTCTCCCCGGACACCGCGATGGCCCGCGCCCGTTGCTCCCGTCGAGGGCGAGAGCGCCCAGACGGCCGCCTGGGTGGCGCAGAGGGCGAGAGTCTGCTCGAGCGCGTCGCAGATGGACGCGGTGCGTGCCGTCGTTGATGACGATGACGATGTCGACGACGACGAGGCGCCGCGCAGGTGGTCCGTCAGGTGGCCCGCGAGGTCGAGGAGCGTGCCCAGCGAAGCCGCCGACGTCGGGCTGGTGCGCATCACGGGGCGGATGAGGGCCGAGGGCGAGCGCACCGACGGCCACGCCTGCACCTCGCGGCACAGGACGAACGCCGCCTCGCTCTGGTACCACAGCCCGGCCACGAGCACCGTGACCGTGTCGAGCAGCTTGGCCTGCGCGGTGGCGTGCAACGGCTTGGCGCGCGCATCTTCGGCCTCGGCGTCGAGGCCGAGCAGGCTCTGCAGCTCGCGCGGGTGCTGGAGGAGGTGTACCAGCGGCTGCAGCAGCCAGGCCAGCCGGCTCGAGAGCTTGGCGGTGATCGAGTGTCGGTTGCCGGCCTGGTTGCGCGACGACGAGCCGTCGCGCTCCGCCCTGACCATCGAGTAGAAGAGGCGGCAGATTAGCTCCAGCTCGTCGAGGCCCGGGAGCGAGACGATGCTGCTGCTCGGCGAGGCCGCCTGAGCCGCCTGGATCGCGTCGCGGTCGGTCCCGCTGCCGCTGAAGGAGGCGGCGGCCGCCGAGAGCGACGTGCCGAACCCGCCGAGCCCGCTCGAAGCTTGGCCGTCGAGGGCGTAGATGGGCGCAAACGCCAGCGCGCTCTCAATCTGCCTGGCGTAAACGCGGACAAAGCCATCGACGTCGGTCTCGATGAAGCGCGCGCCGGCCCCGGTGCGCTGACCGGCGTCGCCTCGCGCAGCAGCGCCCGCCGCAGCGGCAGCAGCACCGCCGCCGCCGCCAGCGCTTCCAAGACTGCCGCCGCTCCCTCCGCTGGCCAGGTTGTCGATGAGGTTGACGACGATCCGGAGCATCGTGGTCCAGGCA